GAACTAACAAGCCCTAGCCAGTTTGGCTCAGCAGATAGCACATTGGCCTGTGAATTGAAGGGTCCTGGGGTTGAATCCAGTCAAGGGCACATACCAAGGTTGCAGGCTCCTCCCAGCCCAGGCCATGGTCGGGGTTTGTGCAGGAGGCAACCATCGATGTGTTTCTCTCACATCAATGTTTCTCTCTCTCTCTCTCACTCTAATAATCAATGGGAAAATATCCTCAGTGATGGTTCCAAAACATGAACTAACAAACAAAAGAGACAGAATCATAAACAGGCCATGGGTCAATCCAGCCCACCACCTGTTTTTTGTTTGTTTGTTTGTTTGTTTGTTTGTTTGTTTTTCCACTTAGGATGATGTTGGTTCTCAATACCATACAGATTTCAAGTGTACAACTCAACAAAACCTCCTCTGCACACTGCATCATACAACCATCACCGAAAGCAAATTCTCTCTCTGTCCCCATTCCCTTTGCCCACCTCTACCTACCCCCTGGCTTTTTTGTCAATAACGTTTTATTGGAACATGGCCACACTCATTCCTGCATGCGGTTACGTAACAGTGGCAGAGTTGACTAACTGGAATGGAGACCCTATGGCCCACAACGCCTCACATGTTTACAATATGGCTCTTTGCAGAAAAATATAATTCCAACCCATACCCTGTAACTCAACCCAACTGCAGGAAGAAATTATGTCACACGAACTTGAAGAACACACAAAAGGGTCAGAACTGAGAACCTGTCCTAGCTCCTATCCCAAATTCTCAGCATGGGGAGAAGCCAAAAGTTCCACTCAGCCCTGAAAGCCAGGCAAATAGTAACATCTGTTTCTACCCACGTTTTCCCCAATTTGCAGCAGGGTCTTGAAGGGTGCTTCAAATAGAGTTATTAAGTGGTGTTATGTGTGTCCTACATGTCCTACAAACACACACACACACACACACACACACACACACACACAAACAGCCAGTGGGGACTTACACCAGGGTCTGTAGCTGACATTCTGGGTAACTCAAACCCTCACTCAGCAATCTCACCCCACCATCTCCAAGGTTGTTCTTGGCCAAGCACAGGTGTGTCAGCCTCTGGTTGACAATCAAAGTGGAGGCAAGCTCCTTGCAACAGACTTCCGTCAGGTGACAGTTTTCCAACCTGCAAAAGCAACCACACCCACGGTCAGGCGGTGAGAACATTGCCAAAGCGCAACCTTCTCCAGGGAGAGCTCTTCTGGTTCACTCCCCTGACCCTCTCTCTCTTGAGCCATGACGGACCAGAAAGGAGAGAAAGGGCAAGCAAAAATGTAGGATTCATCTGCCTGGGACCAGAAACGGAAACGAGGTATCACCTCACACCTATCAGAATGGCAACCATCAATAAACCAGGTGTTGCCTACATCAGTAGGTTGTCCCGGAAATAGGGGTGTTCCCGTCGCTCTCCTCTATGTGGACCCAGATCCAAACACAAAGGTGCCCCGTGGGAGAAGAGGAGACACTTACGACAACCACTGTAGGAAGCAATTTGGGTGCCTCAGACTCCCACACAGCAACTTGACCCCCTCATCCCCGAGCTCACTGGCTGTGAGGTCCAGAGATTGCAGGGACTGGTTGACTTTCAGGGCCAAGGAGAAGTCGTTCAAATGCTGAGTGAAATCAGAACAAGACCCCAACCTGTGGGATACATGGAGGAAAGTCATTCTCCTAGGAGGACAGAGACCCTGCAGGCTTATGCTGCCACCAAAGACTGTATCCTGGATGTTCATCTCATTCTACTTCAATATGTAGCCAACCCTGGCCTGAAGGATTGGAGAGAGTCAATCTCGTTGGCTTTTCTTCAAATATCCCCATGGCCATTCAATCAATGTCCAGCCTCATCTCCAATCTGTAATACAATTCTGTGTGAAGTTTCACCAACATGACCTGTTATTTTTTCGCATCTCATTTTTTTAATATGATCATCACATTCTCTGCCCAAGTCTGTCCTATTCTCACTTGGTTCTAGATATATGATTCTATAGGGGAGCCCTCACCGTGTGGCTCAGTTGGTGGGAGCTTCATCCCGTACACCAAAAAAAAGTTATGGGTTCAATTCCCAGTCAGGGCACATACCTAGGTTTCAGGTTTGATTCCCTGGTCAGGGGCATATGGGAGGCAACTGATGGATGTTTCTCTCACATGACACATCTTTCTCCCCATTCCTCTCTCTCTAAAATCAAAGACATATCCTCATGTGAGGATTTTTTTTAAATAAAATTTTAAGAAAGGATTCTATAGGAGGGAAAAGAAGTTGATGCCTGATATGCAAAAAAGTTCAACTTCACAAGTTCTTAGGGAATATGCAAATTAAAACATGGAGTTACAATTTGACCTTAGGCAGCCAGGTCCAAAACTCTGTCCGGGAGTTGAGTTTAGGAATTGCAAGGATGAGAATTGGGAATTCCCTTCTGTGCACTGGGAGGACAATGAGGGAATCCATGAATCCGTTCTACTGGGCTCTGAAACCCGGCTACTCCTACAGACACAGATCAGAGAGTGGAACTCCAGGACAATCTTATGGTCCAATTGACTATGTGCAAAATCTTTGCAAGTTAATAATGAGATAGCACCTCGCACCTGTCAGAATGGCTGCCATCAATAAATCCACAACCACAAACGCTGGCGAGGGTGTGGAGAAAAGGACACCCTAGTGCACCGTGGGTGGGAATAAGGACTGGTGCCGCCATTAGGGAAAACAGTATGGAGTTTCCTCAAAACATTAAAAATGGAACTGCCGCCCTGACCGGTGTGGCCTGCAGACTGAAGGGTCCCAGGTTCAATTCCGGTCAAGGGCATGTACCTAGGTTGCAGGCACATCCCCAGTAGGGGGTGTGCAGGAGGCAGCTGATCGATGTTTCTCTCTCATCGATGTTTCTAACTCTCTATCCCTCTCCCTTCCTCTCTGTAAACAAAACCAATAAAATATATTTTTTTAAAAAAACGGAATTGCTGAGTGACCCGAGAATCCCACTTCTGGGAATGTATCCTAAGAATCCCAAAACACCAACTTGGAAGAATGTATGCACCCCTATGTTCATAGCAGAATCATTTACAATAGCTAAGGTCTGGAAACAGCCCCAGTGCCCATCAAAAAGCTGTGGGACATTTATGCAATGGAATATTTCGCAGCCGTAAAAAAAGGAAAAAAATTCTTACCTTTTGCGACAGTATGGATGGACCTGGAGAGCATTATGCTAAGTGAAATAAGCCAGTCAGAGAAAGACAAGTACCATATGATCTCACTTATGTGTGGAATCTGATGAACAAAATAAACTGATGAACAAAATAGAACTAGAGGCACGGATGCATGGAATAGAAGGACAGATCTCAAACGGGAGCAAATGCATGGAATAGACGGACAGATCACCACAGGGAACCTAATGTGAGAAGCTGAAGAGATTAAGACAAAAAACATGTGCATAACCCATAGATACAGACCACAGTGTGGTCATGGCCAGAGAGAAGGGGGGCCAGCCCTGGGTGGATGTGGGCAAAGGGGGAAAAGAATGGGGGACACCTGTAATAGTGTCAACAATATAAATAAGAAAAAAACCGGCGTCCTAAAGCTGGGTGATGACAATCAGAACAATGTTATGGGTCTTCACTGACAAAAGGGGACTCTCTAGGAGGAGGGAGCCACCAGGAACCAGGAGCCTGGATGCTTCTAGGGGGTTACAAAGTGGGCAGGGCAGGTCCGGGGCTGCTCTGGGTCACAGCAGAAAGGCAGCATGCCGCCTGGAGTACCACATCCCTACGCTAGAGGAAGCCACAAAAGTCTGCGTGTTTCCTTTGCTTTAGAGGCTCATTATTCGATGCACTTTACAGGCTGGAGAGAGTGCAGAGGCTGAAACCCCGCCCCCGTGTGGTGTAATAACCAATCAGAGTGGTGCTCTGCTCCTGCTGCTCACCCAGCTCACAGCACAGCACACAGCACACAGCCAGTCAGCGCACAGCAGTGAGAGTGACATGAGAAATATCTGAGATACCTCAGGCCGCACCATGCACCTGGGATGCTGCATGCCGCACCATGCACCTGGGACACTGCAGGCCGCACCATGCACCTGGGATACTGCAGGCCGCACCATGCACCTGGGATACTGCAGGCCGCACCATGCACCTGGGATACTGCAGGCCGCACCATGCACCTGGGATACTGCAGGCCGCACCATGCACCTGGGATACTGCAGGCCGCACCATGCACCTGGGATACTGCAGGCCGCACCATGCACCTGGAACACTGCAGGCTGCACCATGCACCTGGGATACTGCAGGCCGCACCATGCACCTGGGATACTGCAGGCCGGTCATGAAAAATATCTGAGATACCTCAGGCCGCACCATGCACCTGGGATACTGCAGGCCGCACCATGCACCTGGGACACTGCAGGCCATGCCATGTACCTGAGATACTGCAGGTTGCACCTCCGGTGCCTTAAGGCCTCGCACAGCAGCAGCAGCAGCATGTTGTCGCAGGGGACGCTGCCTTCCAGGATCAGGTGCGTCAGGGTCTTCTTACCAACCAAAGCCAGACAGAAGTCCCGATAGGCGTGGACCGGGGAGACGTTTTTAACCCTGGGAAACACAGAAGGGAGGGGTCCCAGGTTCGATTCTGGTCAAGGGCACGTACCTTGGTTGCAGGTTCCTCCCCAGCCCAGGCTCTGTTTGGGGCACATGCAGGAGGCAACCCAGCAATATGTTTCTCTCACATCGATGTTTCTTTCTGTCTTTCCCTCTCTCTTCCGCTCTCCCTAAAAATCAATGGGAGCCCTGACCGATTTGGCTCAGGTGAGGATTAACTAAAAAAAAAAGAAGAAGAAGAAAGTATAGAATAGAGGTTCAGAGTTTAACTTCTGTAGTGAGTGTTGAGTAAGAAAAAAAGGGAGGGAGGTGGTAATATCACCTACAGAAGGTTGATATAAGAATCAAATAGATTAATAGATATAAAGATATGAGTGAATTTGTGAACATAATTATTTG